GCGAAGTATTTATTTTCAAAACTATCATTTAGTAAAGAAAGAACTAAATTCTGAGCAAAAAGTCAGATCAAACTGGAAACTTGCATTTAGAACCAAAAAAGAAATTAATAATTTGAATAAAAGGAGGAGAAAACAATATCAGATTAGTTATATTAAAGCTCATTTAAAAAGAAAATATACAAGTCAATTAAAGTCTATACTACACACACAATATGAAACAATACTAAAACCAAAACTTGAACACAAATATCAAGATGTATTAAAACCAAAACTTGAAGACAAATATCAAGATGTATTAAAACCAAAACTTGAAGACAAATATCAAAATGTATTAAAACCAAAACTTGAAGACAAATATCAAGATGTATTGAAACCAAAACTTGGAGACAAATATCAAAATGTATTAAAACCAAAACTTGAAGACAAATATCAAAATGTGTTGAAACCAAAACTTGAAGACAAATATCAAAATGTATTGAAACCAAAACTTGAAGACAAATATCAAAATGTATTGAAACCAAAACTTGAAGACAAATATCAAAATGTATTGAAACCAAAACTTGAAGACAAATATCAAAATGTATTGAAACCAAAACTTGAAGACAAATATCAAAATGTATTGAAACCAAAACTTGAAGACAAATATCAAAATGTATTGAAACCAAAACTTGAAGACAAATATCAAAATGTATTGAAACCAAAACTTGAAGACAAATATCAAAGTGTATTGAAACCAAAGCTAAAGAACAAATATCAAAAAGTTTTAAAACCAAAGCTAAAGGTTAAATATCAAAAAATCTTAAAATGGGAATTAAAATGTAAATATATATATGAAATAAAGTTAAAACTGAAGCAAAGGTATATGAATGAATTGAGAATTAAAATTTTAAATAAATATAGAAATATGTATAGAACTAATTTACAGTATAGAAATAAACAAAAACAGAAATCTAGTAATAAATATCACCAGAATACTAATTATAGAGTCAAAGTAAACAAACTGAGAAATAAAAGACGAATTACCAAAAGAAAAGAAATGAGTAGTATTGATAAAGTTATTAATCAATTTAAAACTGATAGTTCTAATGGTCCTATTTATGTGTGTTCTGTTTGTAATAGATTATTGTTTAAGAATCAAGTTAAAGAGTGTCAAGAAGAACTTTATGAAAAGAAAAGTAAACTAGTAGAAAGATTAGCAAAGAAATGTATAACTAAAACTTACTATCATATTTGTGATGGTGGTTGTATTACCTATGATTGTTGCTGGTCTGATAATTATAAAACTCTTTGGATATGTTTAACATGTAATAAAAAAATTTTACAAGGTAAAATGCCAGCTGAGGCTGTAGTTAATGACATGGATCCTGGTCCATTACCTAATGAATTGAAATGCTTAAATCAATTAGAGAAACACCTGGTATGTAAAAATATTCTATTCTTGAAACTAGTTAAAGTTTGTCCACAAAATGATAAAAAATTATTAGGTGAGATAGTTTCTGTGCCATCAAATTTGACTGAAATGAGCAATGTATTACCAAGATGTAAAAATGATGATGAAATGATAAGAATTAAACTGAAAAAGAAAATTTCTAATAAAGGATATTATGAATTTCAAACAGTTACAAAAAATCACATAAAAAATGCTCTAAATTACTTGAAAGATAACAATGTTTATTATCATG